CTCATGAGGAATCTGTTGGTCGAACAGAGCATGGGAACAGTGAATGTTTTAAAATTAAGAACGTCATGTGACAAGGTTGTATTCTTTCACCATACTTATTCAACCTATATGCTGAGCAAATAATCTGAGAAGCTGAGTTCTATGAAGAACTCAGGATTGGAGGGGAAGACTCTTTAACAACCTGCGATATGCAGATGATACAACCTTGCTTGCTGAAGGTGAAGAGGTCTAAAAACATTTACTGATGAAGATCAAAGAGCACAGCCTTTGATGTGGATTACATCTCAATGTCAAGAAAACAAAAATCCTCACCACTGGACCAATAAACAACATTATTATCAACGGAGAAAAGATTGAAGTTGTCAAGGACTTACTTCATTCTTCTTGGATCACCTATCAACACTCATGAAAGCAGCAGTCAAGAGATCAGACGACATATTGCATTAGGCAAATCTGCTGCACAGGAACTTTTTCAAGTGTTGAAGAGCAAAGATGTCAGCTTGAGGACTAAGGTGCGCCTGACCCAAGCCATGGTATTTTCAGTCACCTCATATGGATGTGAGAGCTGGACAGTGAATAAGGAAGATCGTAGAAGAATTGATGCTTTTGAATTATGGTGTTGGAAGAGAATACTAAAAGTGCCATGGGCTGCCAAAAGAACCAATGGATCCATTTTGGAAGAAGTGCAGCCGGAGTGCTCCTCAGTGGCCAAGATGACCGAACTTCGTCTCTCATACTTTGGACACATTGTCAGGAGGGAACAGTCGCTGGAGAAGGATATCATGTTTGGTAAGATGGAGAGTCAGAGAAAAAGAGGAAGACCCCCAAAGAGATGGATTGGCCAGGTGGCAACATCGATGGACTCAGGTGTGGAAACAGTAGTGAGGCTAGCCCAGGATCGGACATTGTTTCATTCTGCTGTGCATAGGGTCGGTCGCTATGAGTCAGTGCCAACTCAATGGCAACTAACAACAACAACAATATGATATGTTGAATGTAAAACTGATCATCTGTTCTGTAAACCTTCACTCAATTTATAATAAAAAAGTTTATCTTTTTTTAAAGGGGGCTTTAGACAGCCTCTTCAGGGTTCTAATGAGAAGTGATAAGCTCTTTTAGGCACTAGTGCTGTGCTTGGCTTGAACTACCTTTTGAAATGTCTTCTCTGTGGGCCAGCTGTAGTGCTGGACAGTGATGACACAGTGTGCTTAGAACCCTCTGATTCCTGCTGGAGATGATTTCTCTTCCCTGAGGCATTAGTGGGAATTTGACTCAGTACCAAACTCTGGGGGACGCTGTGACTCCCATCAGTGACCCAGACTGAGCTGCTGGGTGGGCTGGTGGCAACCAAGTGCCCAAAGCCTATAAAGCTGCCTGAATTCTAACTCTGGATCCACAGTCTGCTGGGATGTGGGGCTTCTTCTTCTTGGCAGTGGGTCCTGGGGGTGTGGGTGGAGGCAAGGAACTGACATGAACGTGCTGTATGCTGGGGCCTGCTCTGAGCCAGTGGTACCTGGTTGCCCTTGGACAGGACCTGCCTGTGACGGTGACTCCAAGTGCCTCCTGTCAGGGAGCAGGGGGAAGTCAGTCTGGGTCAAATAGTACTTCAGTGCTGCCACTGACTCTAAACTTCTTATGAATCGCAGGAGATCAAGCCCTGATACGGCATCTTGGGGGAGCCTTTGTCCATCTGAACTAGGGAAGGAGAGTAGGAGAGGAGGATGGCTTTCCAACTGCGTGGCTACCTCTTGCCTGGGTCTCATAGTTTTAGTGTTCCCCTCCCAGAATTCCCAGGTGTGATTTCCTCATGGGGCTCAATTAGCAGCCCCCAACTTTGGTTGGTGGACTAATTCTCTGAGTGCATACTCGTTCCAGTGTTGACACTCTTCATCCTTGAAATGGTCCCAAGTGAAAGACATCTTCTCGCTTCTTTACAGATTTAACTCTTTAAGGATCCCAAATGATCTCACCTGTTCTTTTCACTTAATAACAAATGGCACTTGATCATTTCCCCGAGCTCAAATTTGTTCTCAGGGACATAGGTACCACTAGTGTAGGAAGGTGCCCTCTGGTGGCACTACAGCAAGTCTTGAACTGCCTCTTGAAATGCTGTGGAAGAAGGTGGCATCTAATAGAAAACAAACTGATTGGAACCGTCAGTCATCAGCTTTGTGTTGATATTTTGTGTGTGTGCATTTTAGAGTATACTTGCAGATTTTAAACACATTTTTGGGCCTAATTAACCATCTCTTAAATAATTCTAATTAATTTTTTAACCTTTTATTATGAACAATGTTGTTGTTAGGTGCCATAGAGTGGGTTTTGACTCATAGTGACCATGTATAGGGTTTCTGAGAGTTTTTAAATCTTTACAAGGGCAGAAAGCTCTCAGGCTAGAGCCACGGGCCTTGTGGTTCTCAGTCCAGTACTTAGTATATAGAGCCACGATGCGTCCATGAATAATTTATGAATGATGTAGAGCACTGTCAAAAATAAATCAAATACAATAAATAAAAACCTATGTTGTTGTTGTTAAGTGCTGTCGAGTCGGTTCCGACTCATAGAAACCCTGAATAGGTTTTCTAAGGAGTGACTGATGAGTTTGAACTACTAACCTTGTGGTTCAAACCAACCTTACGGTCCAGTGCTTTATCCCACAGTGCCTATACATAGTTTTATTGGAGTAGTTATTCTGTATGCATACAGGGAGACCATTTTGTTTCTAAAATACAAATGGCTCAATGCAGGCCTGTTACAATGAGGCTTTCAAGGAAAAGAGAAAGAAACTAAATAAAAATTAATGATTGTGTTGTGGGTTAATGTGCTGGACTGCGAAGCCAGTTTGAACCACAACCTTATGCAGGGTTGCTATGGGTTGGAACCGACTCAATGGCACTTAAACTCGCAACATGATTGATTGAATTTTGCCCCCTTTTCTGTGATCAGCTGACATCAGATTACTAGGTGGGCTCCAGTCATTTGCTCAAATCTTTCGATGTAGTCATGGGGTTTTAAAAGAATACAGGTGGGAAATTCCAAGGATTATCTCACAGAAGGCAAGTGAGATGGCCTAAAGTTAAATTCTGTGCATAAGATAAACCCTATGATAGTTTAATGTTAAGAGATGTTTGTCACAAAGGGGAAGTGCTGGACTTCATGGCCACTGTGTCTCCACATTATTTTATCTGTTTGTGGGCACATTTTACAATGGTTGGTGACCTTTCTGAGTTTTCTATGCACTCAGGAATAAATCAATTTGGGCTTCAGTTTCTCTCTTTAACATGTAAAGTAAAAAGTAGTATAATAAACTCCCCCACGTTCCTCCCTGAGAAGCAACAAGGAACCTTCTTCTACCTTTCTTGTATTCCTTACACCTCTCTACTCATACACTTCAAGGATTCTTTTTCTTTCTTTTCATTCTTTCTTTTTCAGGTGAAACTTAAATGGAATGAAATACACAAATCTTAGCTGTACAGTTTTGACCAATGGTTGTGCCTGCACTATTCTGTCCTTTCCCACCCTCTGCCCGCCAAGCAACCAGTCTGACTGTCTCCTGAAGTCAGTCTAAATATTAGTTTTGTGTGCTAACTCCTTCCATTTGGCCTGAGATCCATAGAGGCCCATAAGGTCAGGTCCTGAAGGTCTTTCTTCATCATTGCTGAGCAATTCCATGCAGGGATCACACCACTGTCTGCATTCATCACCATGGGAGCACATCTACACTGTGCTCATTCTTGGCTGGTGTGATTGATTCTGTCATTTGTGATTAAGTCATTTGATGGATGTATGTTTTTATTTTTCTTAAATGAATGCTGGGTTATGTGGTACAATTGTAACCTTCCATATGGGGGACCAAGGAATCCTGGTAGCATAATGCATTACCTCAAGGTCAGCAGTTTAAATCCACCAATCCCTCCCCAGGAGAAAGATGAGACTTTTGCCTCCCGTAAAGATGTATAGCTTCGGAAACCCTATACACTGTCAATGTGAGTCAGAACAGACTCGACGGCTCACCACCATACCTCCACCACATGGGGGACCCAGAGATTGGATTTTTGGCCAATACACTTCATGCACAGTCACTATCTATCTTTACATCAGTGGAAGCTTCTATATTGCCATAAGACCGAATGGGCTTTAGTCGGGCTTCTGAACTAAGGTGGGAGATAAGAAAAGCAGCAAATGAAAACCCTTTGGATCTTAATGGGCCTAACTCAAAACCCATCCTGGTGAGGGTGCAGGACCAGACAGCATTTCCTTCTGCTTTGCACTGGGTCTTCATGAGGCAAGGGCCACTCTACGGCAGCTAATAGCAATGTTGTAGAAGTGTGCTTAACTTAGGGTACAGGGTTTTGACTATGTTGGAAAGTGTTACATACATGCTTAACCCATACACTTTCCCTGCCTGGCTGCCTGGGTGAATTGTTCTGAGCATGTATGACTGCCAGCCTGTGTCTTTACCAAATGTGCATAATTTAGAATGATTTTGCAACCCTTTTATAATATCCCCTCCCCCACTTTTTAATTTAATTTTGTTTTAATAAAGCCGTTTTGGTGCATTTTCAGGCAGGGCTTGCTTATATAAATGGTTGTGTCTTAATATATAAGACATTTCTATTAGGAGCAAATTTTAAATGAAAAAGTTCTATGTACGGGAAGCATTCGTCTGTTAACCTAAAGGTCGGTGGTTCAAACCCACCAGCAGCTCTGCTGGAGAACGAAGGGGCTGTCTGCTCCCATAAAGATTATAGTCTTGAAAACCCTATGAACTAGTTCTATTCTGGCCTATATGCGATGGAATTGACTTGATAGCAGTGGCTTGGGTTTGGTTTTTAGTCGTCCATAAAGCCTCTATCACAGTGTGAAGTCAGGCTTCTGTGGGAATGGTGGTCTGGTTGAGAGGCTGCTTTCGGTTAGTGCTCTCCCAGAGGGCTAAGTATGACTCCAGGTGGGTCACTGCCCTGACCTCCCAACCCTTCACATTACTTCTGCCTCCACAGCCCCTTTGGGTCTCTACTTCTCAAGAGACACCTACTGGGAGAAGCTGTATGTGGATCAGCCAGCTGGTACACCACTACTCTATGTTCACACGCTTCAAGACTTACCCAGCGAAGTGCCCAGCTTCCGCCTGGGCCACTACCTATACAACACCTACCGCTCACGGCTCCACGAGAATGACTGGATACGTATCCAGGAGGACATGGGGCTCCTCTACCTGAACCAGAGCCTGGACCAGAGCACCTGGGAGAAGCTCAGCTCTCGCAGTGAGTGAGCAACCCCTACCTCACCCCAGCCCACCCCACCGCTGCTCCTGTCCTAGCCTGCTCTACTCCATGACATCCCACTCCCTCCTCTCACCTCTCCCTTTCTCCAGCTCTGCCTCACTCCCATTCTCACTTCAAACCCAGGGGCAAGAGCACAGCCCATGTTACAGCAATTCCCCTCCTAGCTCTCCTAGCATGGAAGGGACTAATTGAGGCTGATCTGCCAATATCCAGCCTGGTGAGGGAGCCAGGACACTGAGGGACCACTGTTGGCTCTCTGAGGATATTGCAATTTGGGGGGAACCATGTGCATGATTTGGGGGGTACTCTACATGCCAGATCCAGAGGACTTTTCCAATTGGGCTAAGAAAGATGTTGTTGTTAAGTGCCATCAAGTCAATTCTGACCCATAGCGACCCTATATAGGGTTTCTGAGGAGCAGCTGGTGAGCTTGAACTGCCAACCTTGCAGTTCAAATGGCTTTGCAGTCTGGCGCATTAACCCACAGTGCCACACCTCATTGGAGGGGAAGTTGCTGTGATGCATCACTGATGGAGCATGTTGGAAATTCTCCTCAGTACTGAAGAAATCTATCCATGTGGCTGTGTCTCAGCAGGATCGCCACAACAAAGCCACCCAGGGAGAGGCAGGTGTGGGTTGGGGGGGGGGAGGGAGCGGGACACCATGCACAGCAGGATCAGGCCCTAGAGAAGATATCCACCTACAGGAGCTAGGTTGCTCAGGGCAACTTGCTGGGAATCATGATGAGAAAAGGTGGTAGAAGACTGGGAGGGAGTTAGAGACAGAGCTCGGGGCAGCCCTCTGTAATGTAACAGGGATTGGAGGGCATGGAGGGACTTAAATACAGCATTCAGAGTGGTCCTTTGGGGGGAGCAGCTAAACAGAGTCTGAATAACCAAAGAAGGTGGCCTTTGAGGCACTGGTACTCACGCAGAGAGAGCAGGTCTCAGGATCCTGAGGCAGAAAAGGTGTGCTAATGTGGGTGATATGGAAAGCATATACAATAAGAGGAAGGCTGGTAGAATAATAATGAAGGCAGGGGAAGGTATGGGTAGGAGTGCAAAAGTTAAAGGGAACAGGGATAAATACTGTTTTATACACAATCCTGCAATAACAGGGATCTACTATGCAGGGTCACTATGAGTCGGAACTGACTCCACGGTGCTTAACAACAACAAAACAGGTAGATAGGAGTCCTGGTGTGGTGCTATAGGATAACCACTAGACTGTTGACTACAGGTCAGCAGTTCAAACCCACAAGCTGCTCCTCAGAAACCCTATACTGGGTCACTATGGGCTGGAACCAACTTGATGGCACTTAAAAACAACAATGGATTGATACATGACTAGACACACAGGCTGAACCGGTGTGGGAGGGAGATTGGGAGGGTACCCGCAAACAGATTTGTTCATGGCTATTTACCTATGCTGCAATCATATCCATAAATGTGGTAGAGCATACAAGTGACAAAAATATGAAAATTGCTTGTTGTTGATGTTAAGTGTCATCAAGTCATGACCCTGTGAAGGGTTTAACTCTTGCAGCGCAGCTGCCACACTGAAACTGCTGGCTGTGAGGTTCACGGTCCAGTACTTTTTGTATGGAGGCCTTGTACTTCCTGAAAATTGCTTAGACCTTACCAGACACCTCAAGGGAATGGATTACTGGGCCTGGAGACTCAGGACTATAGTCTCATGGGACACCATGGTCAGCTGACATAGCATAGTCCACAAAGATGATGTTCTACTTCCTATTTTGGTGAGTAATGACTGGAATCTAAAAATCCCATGAGTGACCATCTGAGGTACAACTATTGTTCTCTCCATATGTGGAGGAAAGAAGAATGATGATAAATGAAGACATTTGGAAATAACTAGTCCAATGAACTGATGGACTATGGGAACATCAGTCTCCACAACCCCAGGACCAGAAGAACCAGATGATGCCTGACTACCACTACCAATTGCTCTGAAAGGGATCACATTAGAGGGTCCTGGATAGAGTGGAATAAAATGTGGAAGAAAATTCAAAATCATAAAAAAAAAAAAAAAAAAAAAAAGACCAGTCTTACTGATCAGATAGAGACTAGTGGAATCCCGAGACTGTGGTCCTTGGTCATTCTTCAAGTCTGGAACTGAACTTAGCCCTGTGGTTCAGTTTTCAGCCAAGCAATACAAGCAATAGATATGTATATGGGTAAGACAACACTAGTAAGGTATGTACAATATACAATGACCAACCATTTGAGATCAAAAGGGCAGCATTTATCTAAATGGAAAACAAATCAGAAGGGTGGGGTAAGATGGAGGAATGGAAATAAGAAATACAAGGAGGAAGTGGGATATGTGATGTTTCACTGAGGGTTTGCAAGTTGAGATGAAATGAAGTAATGATCTGCTCTGTAAATTCTCTCTGAATCACAATAAACAGCTTTTTAAAAGAAAGAAAGAAGCCGGGTCCCAAGTTTAGACTGAGGGTATGTTATAGGAGGGGTGTGGGGAGTACTGGAAAGGATGGTCAGCTCAATGGAGCCCTTGGGCCACCCTGAGGACTGAGTTGTACAGCAACCCACAACCTGCCCTCAGACTCTATGGCTCTCTTTTTTCAGATGGAGGGATCCCTCTGCTTACCGTCCACCTACAGGTCTTCCTCTCACCGGCTTCCCTGCATGAGGGCGAGTGTCAGTGGCCAAGCTGTGCCCGCGTGTACTTCTCCTTCATCAACGCCTCTTTCCCGGCCTGTAAGTCCCTCAAACCCAGGGACCTTTGCTTCCCAGAGAAGAGCCTGTCCTTCCGCATCCGGGAGAACAAGCCCCCGGGTACCTTCCACCAGTTCCGCCCGCTGCCTGTACAGTTCCTGTGCCCCAACATCAGTGTGACCTACCAGCTTCAGGGAGGTGAGTATGGTCCACTGGCCAGGCCTTTACATCTACTCCAACACTTCACTGTCCATTCTTTTGATGTTCCAGAAAGATCTTTCACATTCCTACCACAAGCCAGGCTCTATTCTGTGGGCTGAGGGTACAACCATGAGCAAAGCAAGTAGAGAAATTGTTAGGGCCTCTGTTTATGTCGGGGGCGGGGAAGGGAAGAGGATTACATCCTAGAGAGGGCACAGGAAAGGCGGAGTTGTGGTTAAGTCACCACACTCGACCCTGTGTAGGGTTTCTGAGGAGCAGCTGAGTGAGTTTGAACTGCTAACCTTACAGTTCAAACCGACCTTTCGGTCTAGTACTTACCCTACACTGCTACTCCAGGACTCTGGAAAGGCAGAGAGCCTACCTCAAGTAGGGAGCAGGATAAGAGTGGCAGTGGTGCAGACATTCAGGGGAGGGACATGAGGACCATAGCTAGGTTTGGGATCCTGTGTTGGGAATGGTTTGGAGAGGCACTTTTCAGGAGGAAGCAGGAGGCATTTAGGAGTCTCCTGAGAAATTGAATGTGTGACTGCATGTTGGGGTCAGGTGTGAGGTACTGAGGGGAAGAGGGGACAAGCCGGGTTTCAGTGATGCTGCCTAAGCAGCTGCTAGAAGAGAGACGCTGGGAACCATTGGACTAGAACCACATAGAAGTGAAGAGAAGAATGCTGATGACCTGAAGCTCAAAGGAGTCATAGGCTGCACTGCTAGTGAGCAATGGAACGAAGTCCACACTAGGCATCCCACCCAACCACCTGGTGACCGCATTACAGAAATTCTAAGTGGAGTCAGAAACTCATTCACCTGCATATCCTCTCCTTTTCCCTGGTTCCAGAAATGTGTGCTAGATCATCAGCACTGCATGCTACCCTTTCCATTGAAATGTACACATTTAAATTGTGCTCAGCATGTGTTTTTTGTTAATAAAGAATAGAGGAAAACATATTGTGGTAAGCACTCCCAGGTTGCCTTGCAATTTGTGCTCTGTGTGAAGGCACACACTGTTCCAGGGAGCCAAGACAACGCAGCCCCCTGTAGGTGTCTCTAACAGTGCACCTTTCCTGAGCTTTCTCCTGAAGGTAGATTCTAGGTAGGACTCTGTTGGAAGGTGTCTTATGGTTGTTGCAAGATAACTGCAGTCCCTGGATGTCAGCAGGCAGAGTAGGACTGGCTCAAACCTGGCACCATGGCCACTATCGTCTCATTATATGAGATGGAAACAGGCACAGATGGGCCACAGTGCTGGAGACAGTCGAGCACCGATGTCACCAATGTGTGCTGGCATTGTCACACACACATTCACTGTGCTGCTTTTCCAGTGGTAGGATTCTGGCTGATGTCCTTATTTCTCACTTTCTCTAAAATGAGCAAATAGTGCCTCCATAATTTAACAAGTTCCCAACACTATTTTTTTTTTTTTTAATTCAGTGAAGACCTGTGCTTGAAGCCTCTCCTGTGCTGGAGATACTCCCAAGCAGTGCTGTCCTTCCCTACCGCCAGTCCTAGGTCCCCGAGAGTGTAGGTGGTAAAGACCATGGGAGCATCAGCTCCCAGAGGCATGCTCACTGCACGTGTGCCACCCTTCCAATAGCACTAGTGGGACCGAGGAGGTAAATGCAGGGCCAGCATGCAGGACAGCCTGAACATTCCTGTCTGACCCCAGACTCCTCCCTGCAAGAAGGACAGTTCACCCTTTACTGCCCCGGCTGCCAGATCCTAGTCACCAGATCCTGGTCTGCTTGGTCCCAGGTGAGCGCCTGCCCTTCCGCTGTGCCCCAGACAGCCTGGAGGTGAGCACACGTTGGGCCCTGGACCGAGAGCAACGAGAGAAGTATGAGCTGGTGGCTGTATGCACAGTGCGGGATGGCACCAGTGAGGAGGAAGTGATGGTGCCCTTCCCAGTGACAGTGTATGATGAGGACGACTCACCACCCACCTTCGCTGGGGGACTCAACACTGTCAGCACCGTGGTGGAGTTCAAGCGGAAGGAGGTGCCTGTCAATCCTTGCATCTGTCTTTTTGGGTGTCGGTCTCTTCAGTCGTCCATTTATTCCTCTGCCTATCCAACTGTCCATTTGTCTGTTGGCTTACTGCTGGCCTCTGGGACAAAAGAAAAGGGGGGAAGGGGAACCCCCTTGGGCATGTCTTTGGGTACCTGAGTTCACTCATATAGTCAGACCCTGCTGCCTGAGAAGGTACCCTCTTACATTCTTACAACCCTTACAGGAGGGACGCAGCTAAGGTTCACAGGGGAGGTGTGCTGGGATGGGAGAGAGACTGGGTAGATCTACACCCAACAGAAAGAACCTTGGTGAAATTCAGGCAGCAGGAGGTGGTGGGTCTCTGAGCTGGCCTTTTCAGGCCCGCGCTCTTGTCATTGAGGGAGAACGTGACTGCCATCTGCTGGGCATTGGACTCTCCTGCAGTCAGGCCTGCAGCTCAGCACAACCATAGGGCAGAGTGGCCAGTACCCTCATGCACAGCATGAGCTCTGGGAGTTGGGGAGGGGGTGCTCATAAAGCACATTTTGTAAAGAGAAGAGGGGTCTTTTTAGCTGAGAGGTGCTCTGAATCTTCCTAGAGACACACTTCAGCTTGGTTTTGGGGCAGATGCTGGAAATAGGTCATACGGGTCTTGTGTGTGTCCTGGGCTTGGGTGATACCTAGACTCGGGTCCTGCTACTCTGTGACTTCAGGCTGACCCTTGCTTAGTTGACCCAGCTTCCTGCCTACCCAAGTCAGTGGGACACTATGGGACATGTAAGCAGAGCTGTGTGGCATCTCTGTAGCCCTTGGGACAATCTGTAGGCACTCTTATCCTATCTGTTGTGTATAGAGAAGACCCTTAGGGTCTCAGCCTAAGTCAGTCTGTCTCCAGAACCAGCACTCTAAGTGCCACATGCTGTGGACTGGCACCAGAGTGCACACACACCCTTACAAGATCTCAAAGACAATAGGAGGCCACATTTTCAACAGGGTGTGGAGGTCCAAGGTTTCCCTGCCACCCACTTTGACATGGCACCCTGCCCTCTGTAGGGCACTGTGGTGGCTGCGTTGCAGGTCTTTGATGCAGACGTGGTGCCAGCATCTGGGGAGCTCCAAAGGCGGTACACCAGTACATTGCTTCCAGGGGATGCCTGGGCTCGCCAGACCTTCCGTGTGGAGCACACACCCAACGAGACCTTGATTCCAAGCAACGGCAGCTTCGTACGGGCCACAGTACACGAATATAGTAAGAGTATAGCTATCCTTCTGGGTACATAATTCCCAGAATTCACACCCACCTGTCTGCCCTAGTCCGTCCTGTGTCTTTGGGGTCTCATATGCTACTCTTTTTCTTCATCTGCCCCGTTAGCCCCTGTGGGTCTCGCCACACCACTCTGAACTTGTAACCTGTACAAACATACATAATGGAACCTGCTGTGTACACCCAGGGTGCCCCAAGGTGCCAGAGAATTGTTGACACATGTACACACAAACACACATAATATCTGCTATCAGCAGCTCCCTCCTAATAGTTGATGGACAGCGGCCATCTGCCATGCCTTGAGTGGAAGATTCAGAGATGGGTGTTTTACTCAGGCTTCCAGAATGCACTAGCAGGTTAAGTACCATGTGCCCTCAGTGTTTTTGTGCCCCGCAGGTAAATCATATAAAATGGGCTTTCCTTCCCTGCCTCTTACCTCACCTCTCCTACCGTACTTGTGTGTCCTGGAATCACCTTCCAGACATGAACCTTGGATCATTGTTTTGGGATCTACTTTAAGAGAAATCTAGGTTCGTGTGTACCCCACTTACAAATGCACACATCCTTCCTCCCACTCTCACACCTACACACACTGGCCCTCTCCCAGCTGGAAGATGGGAGCTAAGTTTTATGGGTGCCTAGTTCAGCTTGGCTGAAATTTATGTATGGTTCTCACTGCATGTGAGTGTCAGGGTGTGTGTGTCTGGGAGAAGGCACACAGTGGACATGAGGTATAGCTGTGGCCCAGAGCCAGCTCAAGAATAATCACCTCCATCCCCTTCACCCACCACAGGGCTTGTGCTCAACCGGAGTCTCCCCATCTTAGAGAGCTTCACCCTGCAGCTAACTGTGCTGGTGAACGATTCAGACTTCCAGGGCCCAGGGGACAGCATCCTGCTCCTCCACTTCAATGTCTCTGTAGTGCCCGTCAGCCTGCATTTCCCCAGCACCTACTCCTTCACAGTGATCAGGAGGGCCCGCCGCTTTGCCCAGGTAAGCTCATGCTGCACCGCCTGGGGTCCTTGTGGGTGCTCTGTGGTGTGCAAGTCAAAAGCAGTGATGGGGTGTGAGCCATGCCCCCTCCCTATCCAGACATAAATCCAGGGTGGTGGGTAGCAAGGAGTGAAGGCCTGGAAGGGTCAAAGAGGCAGGACTGGTATAGTCTTTGGGCTACTATTTTTTTGCTCTCTTCCTGCTTTGAGCCATCTTTGAGGCACATTTTGTACTCATATAAGAGCAAGGCCAGTAAATCACATATCCTGACTAAGAAGGATATTCCTTAAGGGAAAAAGTGGTTTGCAGAGCTGTTGATCTCACATGACGTCTTTGAAAAAACCAGATCTTTATCATGGGCATTTGTAAGTGTGTGAACATAGGCAGTGATTAATGGGAGAAAGACTGGGCCTTCCAGTTTTTTACATCCTGCAAACATATTTTCTAGAGAGCTCAAATTGCTCTTGTCCTTGGGATATAACAGAAGTGAAAAGTTTTTAAGTAACACATGCTCGTTAAAGAAGAGGTATATGGAGGAACACCCAGTGTTGAACTGTTTGGTGCAATTCTTCCTAGAATGTCTTTCCCCAGCATTTTGAACAGGCTGTAATTGCAGTGCGGCCCTGCTCTAGAATCCCGCGTTCTCTTAATGGAGCAACGTGTGGGTCCATTAGCACATCTTCTCAACATTAACTGGCAACCCCTGGCCCCTGTGGGTGGTACCCACACCCCATCCATTCCTGGTAGTCACTTGTGCCCAGCCCACAAAGGGCCCACCTGCTGCCCACCCTGACTTTTCATAAAGTTCTGGGTGTCCCCAGGGGTGGGTCTGAAATGGTAGGTCGGGAGGTCTGGGATTGACAAGGCAAGGTCAGGGAGGGGGTCTCTGCAGAAAGACTCGGGATACTGGCTTCTCAGACCCTCCCCTAGTTTTAAATGGTGAATTAAGGATGGTGACCTTGGGTTGTATTGAGGACAAGCTGAGGCAGTGGACAGGCTCTGGCTTCATGCATAAGAAATTGCTTTGTATCCAGCCAACCATTTTCGGTATTGTCAAGCTCAGGCTTAGAACAAGGGCTTTGGGGTGAGCTAGTGAGGACAGGCTAGGCCAGCTGCAGGCTGGGGACCTTTCCCCTTGCTTGATCTTATTTCCCACTATGGCAACCTCACCCCAAAGTGGCTGAGGTAAGAGGGGAACTCACCAACCTGTACACTGGAGCCTCGTGGCTCCAGGGCCTACAAAACAAGATCAACAGGGATGGGCTCTCATGCAGGGGCAGCTGGCCTAGCAGTCCCTGGAGAAAAGACCCAAGTCCTGGAAGCCTCCCTATTGCGCAGCATGGCTGGTAAACCTCAGTGGAGGACCAGTCCCATGGTCAAGAGGCAGATCTCTGAGTTATCAGGCTGAGTGGCCCTGGTAGGACTGGACCCAGCAAGGCCCACTATAGCCATGTGGATCAAGGTTATACACGGCAAGAGGCCATCATGCCATAGAAACCCCTGGGGCCATAGGTGGGTCTTTCAAGGCTTCATTCTGCGCTGTTAGGCACAAAGCCTCTGCCTTACTGCCAGGTTCTTCCTCAGAGCCTCTCAGACACTCCTCACTGTCCACCATCTAGCCAGATATCCATATGCTGAGCCCCGCACATGCATCCTCAGCTGTACCGAGATGGCTTTGGACTTATCTCAAGTGACCATACATTGCAACACCTCATTGTGAGGATGAAGGGGCCTTTGCATTTGTTGTTTCTTCCACCTGGAAACTTCTTTACCCAGAATTGCATTATTCAGACCTTCAGAGAGCCCCTTCCCGGATGACCTTGTCTAAAATCCAACCTCCATCACTCCCTCCCCTTTGCCTGACACAGAATATATTTATATATTACTTGTTTATCTGTTTTTGGAGGGCTTCAATATAAATTCCAAGAGCTCAAAGCCTGGGTCAGAATTATCCAGCAGTAAATACATAGCTCCCTGATCAGGCACTAGGGCATAGTAGGTGAGCATCCACCTCTGTTTCAGGAAAGAAGAGAGGAAGGAGGGAGGAAAGGAAGGAGGAAGGGTATGAGGGAAGAAAGAAGGAAAGGGGAGGAAGAGTCAGCCCCTCCCTAGAGGGCTTGCCTGACTCCTTTCTGCCACCAAATCAAAGCTCTTTCTCTCCCTGCCCCTTTCTGGAAGCATCTGGCTCCCAGGATCAGGATGGGTGATGCTGGGACCAAAGCAGAATGGTCAGCCCAAAGGGGTCTCTTGCAATTGGCCTGTGCATTAAGTAAGCAGGGGGCAGAAGGATAGCAGTTCTGGGGGAGGTACTGACCCCTGGCTTAGTTGGGGTACCAGGCCAGGGCTGTCTGGTAGTGTCTTTCCCCACTATGGAGCCTCAGCCCACCAGCACCTGGCTGAGGAGCCTATGCCTACGCTTAGGTCGGGAAGGTCTGCGTGGAGCACTGCCCAGAGTTCAGCGGCATCCTCATCCAGTATAAACTGCAGCCCTATGGGACCAACTGCAGCACCTTGGGAGTAGCCAACTCACCAGAGGACACCACTGGGACCGTGTTTGTGAACAACCCAGAGGACCTGCGTCGGCCCGAATGTGCTGAGTTCCAGTACACAGTGGTGGCTACCGACAGGCAGACCCGTAGGCAGGCCCAAGTCCAGCTGCTCCTCACGGTGGAGGGGACATGTGAGTGTCCAGGGCATGGGGGGACTGGGTGGGGTGTGGATTCCACCAGGACAGAGCACATGTGGGTGTGGAGCAGCCTCACCCTGCAGTCCTGGCTCCCCATGTACCCCGTGGAAACTCCTCCACCCCAAGTGTGCTCCCCACACATTCACAACCATAGTACCTACTTCACAGCCTTGTAGGAAGGATTGCATGGGGAGATTGTGACGCAGCTTCGCACCAAGGAACTGCCGTGGGCACGGATGCTGCTGCCCACCACTACCACCACCTTTGATTTAGGGTCACTAGACAAAACTCAGGGACCTGGTTAAATGTGACTTTCAGATAAACTATAAGTAGTTTCCTGGTATACGTATATCCTATACAGTATTTGCAGATTTATAGTTTGGCTTTTCTTGGGAGACAGATTTCTGTGTGTGTCCCTTGCATTAGTATTAGTCATTGTTTATCTGAAGTTCTAGGTTAACCAACCTGTGTGTTCCATTTGCTGAGTTTGGCCTCTCTCCTTGGCTCCCTGCCTTAAGTCCCCCCCACACACCCTGTAGATGGCCTGCAACTGTGTGCAGCAGAGAGCAGTCCCGTGCTCTACCCCATGCCCCATCATGCCCTGTGCTCCTGCATAGCTCTGCTGCCCTCCTGGCTTAACTACCCAATAGGCCAGCCAGTGTTCCTCCTGTGGGCATGCTGACCAGTCTCATGTGACCTTGCTTGTCTGCCCTCTCAGACATGGCTGAGGCAACTGGCTGCCCCCAGTCCTGTGCAGTCAGTAAACGGCGCCCCGAGTGTGAGGAGTGCGGTGGCCTGGGCTCCTTGACGGGCAGGTGTGAGTGGAGACAGGGCGATGGCAAAGGTAGGTGCCATGCATGCAGTGGCAGCCTGGGAGGGACCTGGAGGCCAGGGGCTATTTGGAGTTGGGGTCCACAAGAACACCTCAGCCTCTGTGTTGGATCATCACTGTTCTGGGGCTCCCTGGATGCCCGCTCTGCCTTGCTAAAGGCAGCAGAGGCTGCTTTACAAGTCCCAGCCCAGGAGGGCCACGGTGGGGCCTGGGGAGGGGCCCAGCACATCTGCTAGTCTTAATATCCTTCTTTCCTGAAGTCCCGGGGGAGTCCCAGGACCACAGGTGCCTGGCCACCTGTGCATTCAGAGTCACAGCCTGTGCCTCAGCTGTTCCGTCTTAGCATGCATGCTGCCCAAAGAGGCCCCTGGAGCAGCCTCTGACCCTAGCATGGGCCGGGGGTTTGGATGCTCCCAGGACTCCTCGAAGTAAGCCTGAGAGGGGACACGCTGACATGACAATACTGTGTATCATAGGGATCACCAGGAACTTCTCAACCTGCTCCCCCAGCACCAAGACCTGCCCTGACGGCCACTGTGATGCTGTGGAAAGCAAGGATCTACACATCTGTCCCCAAGACTGCCTTCGTAAGAGCCCCACAGGGATATGGCTAAGGAGGGAAGAGGTAGATGTGGCCATTGGCCGTTGGCCACTTCTGTGCTATATCTGTGGGACCCTAACTTTCAATGGGGCAAAAGGCTCTGTCTTCTTCCAGTGGCCTGATTCGCCACTGCCCCTCCTGGCCACCTCCTTATCCAGCCATCTTTGTGCCCTTTCTCTGGGACTCCAGCAAAGCCCTCATCCCTGAACAGTCAGTTTCCCCCACAACCCACCCCCTCTGTGGGAACCAGGCCCACTCACCGCTCTGCCCAGGTCCAGGATACTGACATGAGGGGACTCCCCTGCACGAGTTCTTGTGGCCCAGGCCTGGGAAGCCTGGGAAAGAGGCTGAGGTGGCTATACTTGCATCCCCAGGGGGTGGCAGCATCATTGGTGGCCATGAGCCGGGGGAGCGGCGAGGAATTAAAGCCGGCTATGGCATCTGCAACTGTTTCCCTGAGGAGAAGAAATGCTTTTGTGAGCCAGAAGACAGCCAGGGTGAGTGGTGGACCAGGCTGGGTGGGCCAGGGCCAGGGCCCTGTACTAAGCAACCATATCTCTCTGCACCACAGGGAGAGCACATATTGGCAATTTTGAGGCTCCGGGCAAGGAGGAAATCTTAGGAGCTAAGTGAAATTGTGAGACTGGGCCTCAGTTTCCCTACCTTTACAGGAAGGGAGCTATTCCAAGTTGCCCCATAGAGTGCTTTCCAGGGCCAGTTTTCTGTGATAAAGTGTGACTATTCTGTCAAATAGCTCCATGGTCTGTCCAGCAGGAACCCATCCCAGCCAAAGGCTGTCCCAGGGCTGCAGTGTGACGGGAAGCAGCCATCTAGGGACCCTAACATCCTTTGGCATGCAGCGCAAGCTGACTGCACAGTGGGAGTCTTCTAGCCCAAGCTCGGCAGCATTTTCCTGGCTTATGAGTTACTAATACATGGCCCTAGGTTCGAAGTCCCTCTCTTTGTTTTCCTGGTCTTCTTAATAAAGAAACATCAAAGGTATCTGGAGGACAGAGAAAAGCACTTGACTCCTTCCTAGTCTGTGTGATGGAGGCCAACGGGACTTCTTGTCTTCCCACCCCGTATTGGGGCATTGGTGACTTGTGATCCTAGTAAGATGGTGCACACGGTCATTCAGTCATCAGCATCATCAGTGCCTTTAAGTTACTTTCACTAATTTGTGAGTTGACAGTGCTCGTTTGCCAGGCAGGCAGCACCCTTTGTGCCCCTGAGTACCTGGCTGGCTCCTGTGGTTCATAAAGCCCTTGCCTGCAGAGGCGCTGTGTGACGAGCTCTGCCGCACGGTCATCGCTGCGGCGGTCCTCTTCTCCTTCATCATCTCTGTGCTGCTGTCCTCCTTCTGTATCCACCGCTACCACAAGAATGCCCACAAGCCACCCATCGCCTCGGCCGAGATGACTTTCCGCCGCCCTGCCCAGGCCTTCCCAGTCAGCTACTCCTCGTCTGGCACCCGCCGACCCTCACTGGACTCCATGGAGAACCAGGTCTCGGTGGACACCTTCAAGATCCCGGTGAGGCTCCGTGGGGAGAGACCTGAGTGCTGTAGTCAGGCCAGCCCTTCCCTGTGGCCTCTGATCTTGTTTGTAGGGCTCCCTGTCACTGTGAGCCTGCACTCACCCACAGACAACTGAGGCTTCCTGAGCCAGCTCAGTAGGAGCACAGAGGCAGTTCTGGTGATGCAGACTGAAACCTGAGGCCCGAAAGGACTGGGGGAGTCATAGGGAAAGTGCCTCAAAGGCTGGTAGGAGCCCTGAGAAGAAGTTTGTATTTTATTCTCCAAGGGGCTGGGGTCCCTGGTGGGCAGGTGTCAGAGGAGAAACATCTTCTGCCTGTGTTTCAACAGTCCACTCTGTCACAGAGAGTATGGAATTGGGGTGGCAATGGGGACCCCATCATTGGACCCCTGCCCTGATGGAGGCATGATCTCCACCGGCGTTATATCAGTGGGCAGGGTGTCCAGTATGGGTGCTGCTCCAGCCCAGAAGCCATCCACAATATGGAGGAAGTGTGTTGTTGTTGTTAAGTGCTCTCCAGTCGGTTCCGATTCATAACAACGCAGTATAGGGTTTCCGAGGCGTAACCGGTGACTTTAAACCGCCACCTTGTGGCTCAAACCGACCTTGCAGTCCTGCACTTATCCTACAATGCCACAGTGCACGCCTGCAGGAGGAGATATGATGCCCCTCTTCTCTGTGAGGATCCCAAGGTTCAAGTGGGAAGGGCCTGGTTCTGCAGGTCAGGCTGAGAAGGGGCCTCCACCAAGGGCTTTCCTAACTTTCTCAGCCGTGCTGCAGCCCTGGGGTGAACAGTCTCTGCTTCTGCACAGATGGACCTGCCCCTTCATTTGTCTGAGGAGCTGGACCTCAGGTTCTGGGGCGAAACAGGGAAAAGGCTCAGAGGCTAGTGTATTTGTATTTGTATGTGTGTGTGTGTTGTGAGTGTGTGTTTGTGTGCATGCACACGTGTGTGTGTGTTTTATATGTGTGTGTGTTCTGTGCACATGTGTGCACTGTGTATTCACTCGTGTTTACATGCATGTACTTGTGTGTGTGCACATGTATGTGTGTGGTGTGTGCCTTTCCTTGAGCTTGGACAGACGGGACCTGGGAGGAGGCTGGAGACTGGCATGATGTGCTCCACCCAGTCAGCCTGCCCTGGGGCATTGGCCCTGTTTTTGTGAAGGCTCTGACTTGGGTGACGTCTCACACCTTGGTGAGAGTCTAGGCCATAGGAGAAGTGGTGCCCACTTGGAGACGGTGTAGGTCATAGTGGTGGTGCCCAGTGTGGTCCTCAGACTTCTTGGTTTGCTCAGGTTGTTCTGTGGCTGTGGGTCAGACCGATCCTCCCAGCAGTAGTTCAGCTTCTAAAGCCGGCCTGCTGGATGAATGCTGGTTCTGTCATGGGAACAATGTGTTTTTCTATGAGACTGCTCAGGAGGTATGGTGCTAGAGGGGGCTGGCATGAGTGGAGTCACAGCCCCTCAGGGTCCCATGTGACTTCCTCCCTGGACCCTGGCTGACACTTCTCAACCTTGGTGTTTTTGTACATGAAGTTAGGAGAATGGTATTTTAAGTGTCTTTGAAGGATTTCGTTGATGCTTCCACCCCTGCTTCATGTGTCTCTAATGTGCAGTGGGGGTTATCAAATGCCCATGGAGGTGGTGACAACAATGACAACATTTCAGGACTGGCCCATGCTAGTGCCCCAACTGTGAGTTCTTGGAAACACTAGGTGCAAACTCAAGGGCATTCACCCTCCTGCCAAAAGCAGGTGTCGGAAAGGAAAGGCTCAGGCCCTGAGCCCATGTTGGTGCCATCTCTGCTGCAGCAGGAGGCTGGCAGAGAGCATGGTGGGGTGACCCTGAGACTCCACACACACCTGGTTGCAGGTGCAGGAGGGGAAGCTGAGTCCTGACAGGCGCTGGCACCGCAGTGGGATTCAGAATTAGCAGAGTGTAGGGAGTTTCTGTCTAGGAAGTGTCCCAGTTCAGTAGGAGAGCAGATAACATGAGGAAACATGGTGTGTGCAAGGACCGGTGATGCTGCCATCTCATGGGACAGCAGTCTCATCCACACTGGGAGAGGTTCTCCACAGAGCTATCCCTTCCAGAGATACCTCCTCCAGTGGGCCCATGGTAGTCTGTACTGCTGTGGGCCTGGTGTCCAAGTAAGGCTGAGACTCTGTCTTGGGGAGGGGGTGTCACTGGTATGAGATACATGCATGCTGAGCACTGCAGTTGATGTAGCTGCTGGAGTGACAGCAAGCAGGCTGGAATGGTTCAGGGCAGGCTCAATCCACCTCAGCATGAGGGAGGTGGAGCTGAGGTCAAGCCTGCACCCTGAATCCAAGTTCTTCTATGGCAGCTCCTACACTCCTGACAGGGGCAGGCTTCCTGTGGCTCTGCCCCGGGGCCAGCAGCAAGGCCTGCCATCTGCAGAGGTGGTGGTCACTGTGACTTAGTGTTACGCTGGCTGGGATGATGGTCATCACCACAGTCCTTACCGAATGTGCTATCTTCACATCCTGTTACATGAGCTTACTTCTCCCTCCCTTCTGCTCTTCTCCCTTCTCCAATGTAGGAGGACCCGAAGTGGGAATTTCCTCGTAAGAACTTAGTCCTTGGAAAAACTCTGGGAGAAGGTGAATTTGGAAAAGTAGTCAAAGCAACAGCCTTCCGACTCAAAGGCAAAGCAGGCTACACGACTGTGGCTGTGAAGATGCTGAAAGGTGTGGGGCTCCCTTATGCACACCTGTCCTGGCATGGGCATAGGTGTGGGGCTTCTTCATTTGTCCCATGCAGGCATGTTTGGGGGGCTCTGGTGTGCATACCAGTAACAAGCATGGGTGTGCCCAACTGAGGTGTCATGCCTGGTCAGCCGCTTCATCTTGTTGAGGTCATGTAACAAGCATCGGGCCCTGACGCACATTGTATTCTGCTGCTCTTGGTGGCCACAGTCTGGTTATACCCCAGCCAGGCGCACCTCCCAGGTGAGGTGAGCCAGGTCTCCAGAGAAGCAGGTGACAATACCCCTCTTCTCCTTAGAAGGCTCATGAATGTTGCTGCTTTGCCACCAACACTAAATGAAGATATGAGTTTAAAAAAATGAAAAGTCCTTTTGATTTGGAGCCAGCAACCCCCCAACCCTCTCAACTTTCACCACTCTCGGGTCTGGCAGAGAGACTGCCAGCAAGGATGGCCCCCCTCTGGTGCGCGGATGGTTCTGCACTCTCTGTGCTGTAGTATGGCTCTCCATAGGCCTGCACATACATGACCATGTGTCCAAGCAGTTGAGTCTCAATGTGGATGTGCACCCAATGTGGAGGTCACCCCAGTGCAATGAAGCAGTCCACATACACCAAGTCCCAGTGCAGACATTTGGGGTTTCCAGATGCTTACCCAGGCCCCCAGACTGGGGTTGCCCCATACCCGTGAGACCAAGGTCCCCAGGATGGTGCAAGCAGCAGCCCCAAAGAATTTTGATCCTGACTGTCCCATACCTTTCAGATCACAAGTCCATGGGACACAGATGACAAGGTGGGACTAAACTGTGTGTGTGTTGTAGGGAAATGGGGGTGAAGGAGAGGGTGTCTGGGGACCAAGGAGGGACTTTCAGTCACTAGCAGCATAGCTGGGCTCAGTGATCAAACGTAAGGATTTCTGTGCCAGTGAACTGAAAACAGCAGTAGTGCTAAGTGGGTGGCACAGAAACAGCAGGCACAGTGTGGATGTCGCTGCATCCCCCCATGTCATTGTTGTTGTTGTTAAGTGCCATCGAGCCAATTCCGACTCATAGTGACCCTACATAGGATTTCTGAGGAGTGACCGATGAGTTAGAACCATCGACCTTCAAAAGACCTTGCGGTCCAGTGCTTTTCCTGTAGCGCCACACCAAAATTCCATAGGTGTCCCATAAAGGTTCTGGAGGGCCCTAGACCTCATCATGGGTGCAAGAGCCCATAGCAGGGTTGTGTGGTCTCCTTGCTTATTGCTCTTCACCATCATCCAGAGCCACTGTTGAGTGATTGGTCAGTGGGTGTTGGTGTTGGTGAAGGAGTAGTTGGGGACTTCAGTCTTCCTAGAGACGCATTTACACACACAATACAGCCTGCCATGTAGAAATCTGTTCCTGAGGTTCTTATTTCCTGGACTAGGGAATAAGGTCCCTGTTAACTAGCCCCAAAGGCTAGGAAGGCTTTCAGCAGCTGGATCCTTGAGGCTTTCTATGTGGACATGGGTAGGGCACCTGTGACAGAAACAGCCAGGAGTCTGTTCCAAGGCCTGTGTGGGGGTGGATGGGACTCCAGAGGGACCTATGTAATGCCTGCCTTGTCTGTGCTACATTTCAGAGAATGCCTCCCCAAGCGAACTGCGGGACCTACTATCAGAGTTCAACCTCCTGAAGCAGGTCAACCACCCCCATGTCATCAAGCTGCATGGGGCCTGCAGCCAGGATGGTATGCCAACAGGGGCCCTGGGAACCCAACTCTCCTTTCTCTTTTTCTGCGTCCCATCCACATCACCCTAGCGCTGCTCCTTTTCTGGGCTTGATACCTCCTGTGTCACTGGGTGAGTGGCCCTCCTCTTCCCAGAGATGGCTCTTGCAGGTGGCCTTTCTGACTTGGTTTGTGGTGGGGTTTCATGAGATGGTTCAGAAAGGCTGCACTTGGGACCCGCTCAGTGATACTGCATGTGCTTTCATGGTGCTACCTCACCTCCATCAGAGCTTTGTCTTGGGCCAGGTGTCAGAAGTGGATGGTGCTCCCTAAACACCCACTGTATCCTGGACTTGCAGTGATATCTAAGTGACAGCCCACCCCCAGGCCCTAGCCCAGCATGTCAGAGCCTTGTCACCATTTCTCAGGTAGGGAAAGGAATCAGAGGTCACATTAACCAACCTGGTCTGCTGACTGTCCAAACCTGCCTTGCTGTCCCCAGGATCGCAGGTGACAACAGAACTCTAGAGGGCTGTGGGGCCCAGACAGCCCTCAGTAAGGCTTGGGGATGGCCTGGGGCAGAATAGAGCCCAAGACACTGTCAAGAGCAGAGGAGCTGGCTGCATGCAGGGAGAGGCCCAGACCAAGCCGTCTCTGGGATGGGCTGTCAGGTCTGCAAACTCTATGCAGGTCCAATGCCCCTAGCTGTCATCCTCCCCAGCACTGTGACTCAAGCTTCCTGAAAGCAAGCGGTGCCTCTCAAACAGTGCTGACCACAAACAGACTCCTTCCCCTTGGGGCATCCTAGAAGAAAGCCAGGTTCACTGCCCACAGCACCAGTGTTGGCCCCACAGTTCAAGGCAGAACGGAAGTGATTTCAGAGCAGCTATAACTTTCACCTCCCTGGGTGGTGCAAATGGTTAAGTGCTCTGCTACCAACCAAAAGGTTGGCAGCTCATATCTTCCCAAAGGTGCCTCAGAAGATCTACTTCCAAAATTGGGTCACAGCCAATGAAAACCCCCTGGAGCCTGCTTCTACTCTGATGCACGTAGGGTCTCCATGAGTCAGAATTGATTCAACAGCAATTGACCCTCTGTGTATGTGTGTGTGTATGATTCCCACACCTTTGTGATTTCATGGTGCCTCAAGCCTGTCAGTGTCCAAGAGAGGACTGGGTCCATCTGCACCTTTCTTATAAGATGGCAGGGTCCAATGCCCTAGAGCTTCTCTTCCCCTGTGCTGCCAGAGCCACTTGCCCAAAACTAGCCCCACCTCCACCCAAGCACTTGATGGTCTTGGGAGACCATTTGCCTCTGTGGTAGGCCACCAACTATCTGTCCTCCTCTCCTACCCCAGGGCCACTCTTCCTCATCGTGGAATACGCCAAGTATGGCTCGTTGCGAGGCTTCCTCCGGGAGAGCCGTAAGGTGGGGCCCAGTTATGTGAGCAGTGGCAGCAGCCGGAACTCCAGCTACCTAGACAACCCAGATGAGAGGGCCCTGACCATGGGCGACCTCATCTCCTTTGCCTGGCAGATCTCCCGGGGGATGCAATACCTGGCTGAGATGAAGGTGCGTGCTGCGACAGGGACATATTGCCTTCCCACTCTTCCCCATGCCGTGCTGGGGCCTGGCTGAAGGAACCCTACTGTTCTCTTCATCACAGCTCGTCCATCGTGACCTGGCAGCCAGAAATGTCCTCGTAGCCGAAGGGAGGAAGATGAAGATTTCAGATTTTGGCCTGTCTCGTGATGTTTATGAAGAAGATTCCTATGTCAAGAGGAGCAAGGTATGTAGTCCTTGGTGTGCTGGCTGGAGGCAAAACTGCCCCCACCCGGAGGGTGGACAGTCATGCCCAAGAACCTCTGAAATTGTGGTCAAAGCAGAGTTTTGAAATATTAACCTTCTTTTTGCTTTCATCTTAAATCCTTCCATGGCCCTTCCAGACCCCAGATATCCAATCCAGGGAAAAGGCCAGGGCACTCCACAGGCTGTTACTGTGATATCAGCCTTTGCCACTGAGGGGACTGCCCTGCCCGTGGACATCAGGCCCCACATTTCCTGTCTTCAGTCACTACACTCTGGAGGTCACCTGACACTGTAGAAACAACAGTCCTCCTCTTCCCCATGCCCATTTCTCTTGCTTCTGCTGAAGAAATGTCACCATTTCCTCTATGTGTAATCTAACACTTTTGGCAAACTGAAAGAGAAGTGAAATTAAACTGGGGTTAGCTGTCATTCTTTGCAGGAAGTACTGAGCTGTCTTGCAGGCAGGGCTCTCTGGAGTGGTTGTTGAAGGTGCCGAGGAAACCTCCAGACAAATGTCCAGGAGAACCATGAGCACAGGGCTCGGCAGGGCTCACGTGAGGTCTGTGATAGATGCCTGGCCCTTACGGATCCTGTGTGACTCCTTGGCATGTTCTGACCTCCCTTGGCCTTGTGGACTGTCTCTCTTCCTCCTGCAATGTCACTGGGTTAGAATGAAGCCCGGTCGGGCTGTTCTGAGTCTTCGAAGCAGACACTGCTACACTGACAAGATGGTTGTTCAAAAAAAAAAGCAAAACACAAAAATGTGGCTTTACGTAATTCAGCTGTGCTCTGGAGGTTGGAAAAGCGGATTTTGTTGCCACAAGTTGTGAGGGCATTATTTCATTTCTTCTGAGGTTTCTGTTGTGGTTGCAGAACTTAGAGCCACAGAAAAGGAAGTTGGGTGATGCTGCCCTGGTCACCACTCTATGGGTGTAGGAAAGCCTTCCTGTTGGCACCCATCTTTAGGCAGGCCCCTGTGTCATGGAGTGTAGGCCCACAATGTGGTCACTGCCAAAACTTCTGTGCTGCCTTCCCCTCCCCCACCCCCCAGGTCCTGCTGCCATGACTCTGCACATAGCCCTGAGGGAAGCTATAGTTCACTAAGTAGGCAAATCCAACAAAATATCTCTTAGCAAAAGAAAGTACAGTAAATGTTCTACAATCTTCCATTGCCTATTTTTATTGATTGGCATAGCTATTGAAAATCTATTTTGGGAAAGATTCATGAGGGCTGACCTCCAAGAATAAGGGCTAAGACAGGTGGAGAAAGCTAGCATCAGGATACATAGCAGGATTCTCCCCCATGGCCTCTCAGCAGAGCCAGCAGTAAGTAGTTTGCATCAGAAATCTCCAGATGGAGACAAAGGAGGATGAGTTCCCAAGCACGCTTGCCCCCAGACCTGACTGGACAGGTGATTTGCAATGGGAAGCACTGTACTGTACCATTCAGCTTCAGGTTTCCAGGGCCCAAATGGAGGACCTGTCTCAGCTGAGCAGCTGTGTCCAGTTTACTGTGGCTGCTTCCTAGCAGAAGTATTCTCTCCTCAAGCTTCCCTTACTGCCCTAAGAGGCTGCCTCTCACACAGACATCTTAGGGAGGCCATGATTAGTTCTGGGATCTAAAGCACTCTGGGATTTAGGAATCAGCATTCCCCCAGCCAGGTTCCAATCACCTGCCCTCCATTCCCCTGCCACCCCTGGAACATTCTTAGCCAGAGCAGCCTTAATGGCTTTTCTTTTATCCTCTCTGTTTAGGGTCGGATTCCAGTCAAATGGATGGCAATTGAATCCCTTTTTGATCATATCTACACTACCCAAAGTGATGTGTAAGTGTGAGTTTGGCCTACTCAGGGGAGGTCACAGAGGTGCAGCATACATGGATGGCTGAATGTATGTGTGTACATGTGCGTACATGCCCATGTTTGTATCTGTTGCTTGGCTGCTGGGCAGTTCTGGCCCCAGGCACCTTTGGCTCACATCCAAAAGAACCTCCTAGCTAAGGGAGATATGTTCAGCATATTGCCAGTGTTCAGGCTGGGGTGGAACATGGGATCAACGAGTGTGTAGTCTCAGCTCTTTCCTCCCATCCCACTCTGGGCATCTTAGTGATGCATAGGCCCAGCCAAACTCTTCTTCTGCAAGGGGCCCTATGATTGGGCATGACTGTACCTGTACCCTCACCAAGGTATTAGGGGACACATGGCTCCAAAGACAGCCTGTGTGGAGGATCACATGGCCCAAACTACTTGAATTCTAGAACCAGAACTTGGTTTTCCAGGTTGAGTGACAACAAGCTGAAGTTTTTCTAAATCGCATTCAGCTTATTTCTAAAGTGCTCTGTAATCCATAAGCACGTGTATTTTGAACAACAGGACTTGTGAGAGATAGTTCCTAATTATTTGATTCATCTGCCTTCTGATCACAAAAGTCATGCATAATACATACTGACTCTAATGAAGTTGGAAAATGCAGAGAAAAGCATAGGAAACTAAAAAGAACTTGAATCCAACTACACATAGTAGCAACTGGGGTGCTGAATGGCACCGGCTCTCCCTACAGTATGCATGTAGACCTGTAAGTGGAATTATTCACACACACTGTTTTGTGGCATGATTTCATTCCCAATTAAAAGTAAATTTTCCCTCAGAGTTAAATGCTTTCTGTTGCTGTTGCTGGTAAGTACCATTGAGTCAGTTCTGACTCACAGTGACCCTGTATCGGGTTTCTGAGGAGCAGCTAGTGAGCTTGAACCACTGACCTTGCAGTTCAAGCTGACTTTACAGTCCAGTGCATTAATCCACAGCATCACATCAGCTTCAGATATTTTCTATAGCACTGATTTTAATTTTCTTCTAAGAATTTAGGAAAATTTCGAAAAACATAGAAAAGGAGTCCTGGTGTGGTGCTGTAGGATAAGCACTAGACTGCAAGGTCAACAGTCCAAATCCACCTGCTGCTCCTCAAAAACTCTATACAGGGTCACTATGAGTCAGAACCAATTCAACGGTACTTCACAACAACAGCATAAAAAAGGTTGTAGAGTTGAACAGGGAACACCCTTAGCCCCTCACCTGGATTCTACACGTGACACTTAACAAACTGCAAGGTCAGCAGTTCAAATTCACCAGTTGCTTCTTGGGAGAAAGAGGAAGCTTTCTGTTCCCTTAAAGATTTTCAGCCTTGGAAATGCTACACAGGGTCACTATGGGTCAGGAATGACTCAATGGCAGGGGTTTGGTGTTTGGCTTTCTGTGACCACAGTCTGTCCCAACATGTGGTGTCTGCAGTGCATTTGCTCCGTACTGTACCCTTTGTGAGAGTACAGGGAGTGCTAGGGCTTGGACAGAGAACTCCAGAATGGCCCACTGGCCATCACAGCAGTGGGGTGCTAAGTAGCTTGAAGCCTTTATATATAGGGTTAACTCCCTGTCCTTTAGGGGACAAAGTTAGAGGGCCCTGGCTGGTGCTCTCTTTGCTCAGGGACAGACTGAGATGTGGATGAGGTGGTGTCTGGTCAACAAAGAGCACATGGACCTTGACAAAGCTGCTCACTTTGCTATGCTTTCCACAGGTGGTCCTTTGGTGTCCTGTTATGGGAAATCGTGACCCTGGGGGGGAACCCCTACCCAGGGATTCCTCCAGAGCGGCTCTTTAACCTTCTGAAGACAGGCTACCGGATGGAGCGACCCGACAACTGCAGTGAGGAGATGTGAGCAGTGCTTGCTGCATTCTAGCCTAGGCATACTGGAGTTGGGGGAGACATGCACTCAGACTCCACACCCCAAGCAGCCCTTGGTGGGGGCTGGGCAGTGGGGATTTCAGAGTAAAGTCTAATAGGGAGAAAGAGGATGCTGTCCAGGGTGATCAGGAATAGGGGTGAGAGGTCTGGGAGTACGGCAGTGAGTGGGACTCTGACTTCTAGTTAGGGTGTGTTGGGGAGGGCAGGTGGATCCGAATGGCCCACATGGTGCATGCTGGATTGCGTCAGATGGAACTGAGGCACAAAGGGCAGCAGGGCTTTGATGGCCATGCTAAGAAGACTGAGCTCTGGCCTAAAAGTGAGAGAGGCTTTACACAGAACGATTCCATCAGAGTATCCTACAGGTCAGGTTGAGAATAAGTCAGAAGGGGCCAATTGGAGGCCAACAATGGGCCCTTGGATTCCACAAGGTCCAGGCTGGGGGTGGACAGGGCCATGTGAAGGTGAAAGGTGGTGGTGACACTACAGAAATAAGGTCAAATGTCCCATCACACACCCATATGATAACCCGAGAGACCCAGTGCAGTGCCAAGAGACCTGATATGGAAGGTGTGATTTTCAAAAGGATATATTCTTTTCTACTATTGTATTTTTGTTTGCACCCCTAAAACCATCAGTATCAGTCAGTTCCACCTTACTAAGAGTTTATGAGACTAGCATTTCCACTTCAACCCCTCCTCTCAGAGGGAAGGAAGTTTATAGAAGGCTGAGGCCAGCAGAGCTCAGAGGGGGACATCGGCAGTGCAGAAAAGCTTTGGGACCAGGACTCGAGGCTATGGCTAGGTTGGCCTGGCATAACACTCCATCTGCTCTTTCTCCCAGGTATGGTCTGATGCTACAGTGCTGGAAGCAAGAACCAGACAAGAGGCCTGTGTTTGCTGACATAAGCAAAGACCTGGAGAAGATGATGGTTAAGAGCAGAGTGAGTTCCTGGAGCCAACCCCAGGAGCTGGCCTCTTCCGGCCTGAATATGGCACTCCAGGGATTTCAGTGGTACCCGATGGGGTGGGCAGTAGATTTGGGCACATGGAGTCCCCAGTGGGTTGTGATAGGGCTTCACATCACTCCTTCAGAGGACAGGCAGCAGGCTGAACCCTCCTTGGCTTGTATTCTACAAACAGATGGAAGAGGAAATATTCCACTGTCATAGGAAATTGTCATTAATAATGGAATGTGAGAAAGTAGAGTGACCAGGTTGAGGTGAGGAGTGATTAGAGAGTGATGGAGACTGTGGCACATAAGAGTTATAGATACATTTCCTTCCCAAGGTGCCTTTAGTCAGGTGTGGCCTATGGGAAATTGAGCTCCATGGCATCAGATCTTCTGAATTGTAAGAGATGTTTATGCTAAGTCTCCCAGTTTTTAATGCTAGCAATTCATACAAAACTGTAAAAAACCAGTGTGGGTCATACAAAATGTACCACCTGGGACCACTTCAGTTGATAAGGAGCTCTGGTAGTGTAGTGGTTTCAAGTTGGGCTGCTAATCTTGTGGTCAGCAGTTCAAAACTATCAGCAGCTCCACTGGAGAAAGATGAGTTTTCTGTTCCTGTTAGGATTTATGGCCTTGGAAACGCTATGCAGGGTCGTTGTGAGTCAGAACTGACTCCTCGGCACATAACCATCACCACCTCCAGTTCATAGCACTATATATAAGTGAGAAAGTAAATAAATTTCAACTAATATATGAGGAACAATTGCTATGTACCATATCTTTTTAGACTCTGGGGCTACAAGTAAACATGACATGTTTAGCCAGCCCAGTTGCATTTGCATAGAGGCCTGGTCCTAACATTGGCATGCTGACTAAAAATTGTCATTTCTCCAAACACAAAAAAACAAGATGCATGATCTAGGCCAATCTGTAATGAAATTTAGAATGAATAGAAATAGATTGCTTGGGTAAAACCTACCAATCCTGTGAATGCAGGTTTACGTTAAACAAAAATAGCAGTCAATGCTAAGAGATCCAACCTTCCTGAAACAGTGCTGAAAAGCAGCCAGAACAATGCTAAGCCCATCTCTGCAGGTTTAAACAGAGCTGTGAAGTTGTAGCATATGTAAAAGTCCATGTGCTGGGTATAAGATCAGCATTACTGAACTTCACTGAGCTCCCTGGGTCCTGCCACTGTGTCAGGGTCTTGGAGGAAAGCTGTCGTGTCCCACAGACTTAGGGGTGCCAGTCATTGCCTATCGCCAAGCCACATTTCCACATGAGCTGTAGGAGGTAGTGAATTCCTTGGCGCCTGAGAGTTTCTTTAAATAGTCAGCTTCTATTAATAGGGATGGGTTATGTTGACCATGGGGTTGGACATGGTTGGTTCCCTCACTCAGTGCTTTTCTAAGACCTGCTGGGTGGCACAAACATTTAACAATGATGACTACTAACTGAATGATTAGAGGTTTGAATCTACCCAAAGGTGCATCATAAGAAAGTCCTGATGGTTTAGTTCAGAAAAATCAGCCATTGAGATCCCTGTGGAGCACAGTTCCACTCTGACACACGTAGGGTTGTCATGAGTTGGAATCGACACCACATGAACTGGTTTAGTGTTTTGTTTGGGCCCATGAAGGGTGCACTGCTGCCCAAGGGAGGTTCCTTTCTAGTGGAAGTGACAGAGTAGCACGATAAGCAGGAGTGAAAAGGACTAGGGGCAGGGCACAGTGGTGGGGCCCCAGCTGGCAGGGTCTCATTGGTGTGGGATTTTCCTAAGGGGACACTGGAAGGCAGCCAGTCAGGGAGAGAAAAGAGGCTAGGGAGCAAGACCCCAGCCCTACCCTTGGCAGCTGTGGTGACAGTGCCCCTGTCTTCACAGGACTACTTGGATCTCGCTGCGTCTACTCCATCGGACGCACTGCTCTATGATGATGGCCTCTCAGAAGAGGAGACTCCCCTCGTGGACTGTAATAATGCTCCCCTCCCTCGAACCCTCCCTTCCACATGGATTGAAAACAAACTCTATGGTAGAATTTCCCATGCATTTACTAGATTCTAGCAACAAAAAACCAATTTGTTTTCTCTTTGCTCTATCCTTATACTCTGTGATGCTTTTTGGGAGTGTTTCTGGTCTGAATGAAGCCAAAGTCAACCCTGAAGCCTTTTTATTTGTAATTGTTTGACTTTGCATCAGGTTTATATTTAGGTATTTTGCAAATTGTTTTTTCTTTTGTTTTGTTTCATTTTGTTTTTTTGTTTTTTTAAAAAAGGATGTGAAAATAAGTGTAAATACCACAACACCCAGGAACTTAAGATGATCAGGGAGAAAGAGATCAAGACGGGATTCTCAGGGGATATTGAAAAACTGATAGCTGAATCACTTCTGGGTGGCTGTTAAACTCACACACTTCTAATTAAACTACTTGGATAAATTTGCCAGATTTGGGGTGGCATTTAATTTACAAAAGAAGCCACCACCGCCACCTGGCCTGTTCCGGCCCTCTGGGCTAGGGGTGCAATGGCTCGGCTCCATGGAGTGGCAATCCAGGTTTCAGGAGAGTAAACACACACTGCCGTTTTCACATCCTTTGACTCACTCTGTCATGACAATTGTCGTCTGTGAAATCAATGCTGACAGCTGGAGCAAATGTTTTTTAAAAGAACATTAGTCTGTGGTGTTGTGGTCATAAGATGGACAGTAAATACGGTTCTTGTCAAAACTCCTCCTTTTGTCTTCGATTACATATTTGAATTTTTTTCTATTTTCATCATCAATTGTTTTAAGATCTTGGAGTTTCAAGTATTTTTCAGCAGAGACTGTTCCTTTCTGCATGCCTCTTGAATCAATGGTTAATTGCTGGCTGTGGGTCTAGTACTTATATTACATTTGTCCTAATGATGCTGTGGGCTCACCTGCATGTGCCCTCGATTTGGAAGGTCCTCTCCACCACTGTAGACTTTGACAGCAGATGAGCAGTTTCCTTTAAGATAGAGGATTTTTTTAATAGTGCAGAAGTTTTCGGTTGCAGTCACCCACTTTAGTACAGCAGTATGCTGAAACCACGCTGCCTTAGAAACAGAGATAACAGATCTGAGAGTTTGAAGTCTATAAAAGTCAAATTTAGTAGTTCCTCTTAACTTTTCATTTTTACTAAAAGAGCATTTTGTTATTTCTCCTAAATATAACAGTGTTTTGGAAACCTGGATCACAATCATTAATGTCATTGGCACAGAAACCAGAAGTTTGGTTTGGACATCAAAGGGAGTTTTGCCAAGGCCTTACTGTCTGCACATGGAGTTTTGGTTCATCAGTGCAGAACAAATTATCTGTTTTCATTTTTAGGCATGTCAGACCCGAACTGGCCTGAAGAGAGTCCTGTACCACTCACAAGATTCGCTGGCACTAACACTGTGTTCCCAAGATATGCAAATGATAGTGTATATGCTAACTGGATGGTTTCACCCTCAGCGGCAAAATTAATGGACAAGTTTGATAGTTAATGTTTCCTTGTAAAAGGTGATGGACTCATAAGGGAAGGCAACATGCCAGGAACGGAGAGGCCACTGGCTCCTTCTTTGTGCAATTTGAGCTGGTTAAGCCAACATTAATTTCCAAGGTGGCAAATTCGTTTTCCATGGTTTATTTCAACTGCTTTCCAAAGTGGCTTTAATCATGAAACCTGGTGAAACATATCAAACTGGATAAGAGTTTTAAGTCAAGTGTTTATTTATTCTCTCTTATTCAGTACCCTGCAGTGTCCAGGGTTGGTATGTGTTATCAGTAAAGACCATATATTTTATGCTTACAAGTCTTTAGGTCCATCCCTTGTTTGAAAAAATGTACCTGAACTGTTTGATCTTCCTGGATGCCACCAAACAAGGGAACAAGATTTAACCATGAAGCACACTCACAAAAAGGCAGCAGGAAAAAAAAAAGGGGGGGGGAGCTCAAAATCTCCTTTTGTTTCAGAATCAGAACCCAACAAGGTCTTAATGTTGGTGTGGTGGTTGTGTGCCACCAAGTCAGTTCCAACACATAGCGACCCTGTATAGGGTTTCTGAGGCTGTAAATCTTTATGGGTGCAGAAAGCCTCATCTTTCTTCCATGGAACAACGGGTAGATTCATACTGCAGCCCAGCTCATAATCCACTATGCTGCCAGAGCTCCTTGCAAGGTCTTAACAGGGGTATAAAAAGTCCTGCCAAGGCTGGAGAGGATGAGGAGAACCTCAGGAGAGCAGGACAGGCTTCGTCTCACCATTTGATATCCTGAAGATAAATTTTAAAAATTATATCACCTTTCCTTAGGAAGACACTTGATTTTGATCATGTTTAAAATGATTCACAGATTTAGCACAATGGAGAGATTTGATACCGTATTTACTATTTAGACTGGCCAATGTGAGGGGATAGAGCCCACAGATCATTTGTTCCCATGACATCACTGCAGCACTCGGACATACTCAGCAATGAGTGGCCATTACCCTTGCACGGGAATGGCACAGAGAAGGTGGATGTACGAGTGGAGTGGCCTCCGGCTGATAGCAGATTTCAGCTACTGTCGGTCCCGTCTCCATCAGCTTTCTACTCAGTGTCTGTAAGCCTCCGAAAGCAGTAGCACAGCCCATGCCTTAACAGTAGGTGAGGACTGTGTTCGGTTTAATTTGTGTTTTATCAACTTCCTTATTAAAGAGCCAGTTCAACTAGTTACATTAGAATTAGCATTAACAGTGACCAAGGACTGCTACACCTGTGATTACAGTTCTGATGTGGAAAAGGCAATGTTTTGGCTCTTATAGAGCCTGTATGAAAAGACATTTATATTAGCTCTTTTTGTGTTTGTAATTTACTGCTGCTATAGTCCTGGTGTTGTGTTTTAGTAGAAGCTCTGGATTGTTAATGAAAAGGTTGGCAGTTCAAACCCACCAGCCACTCTCGGAAACCCTATACAGGGTTGCTCTAAGTCGGAACCAACTCTATGACACTTAACAACAACATAGCCACAGGGTTTTTGTTTCATAGGTTCTGACAATGACCATATACTTCTTGTTACTCTTCAGAGTTTGCTAGTGGTCACACATACTCAGAACACTCCTTTAGTTTGGTGGGATGACTGTCAGGAGGTCCTGGGGGCTTATCATCTGTCACACACAACCTGCGCCTCTCTGTAACTTTGCAGGAAAGGCTCAGATTTAAAGTACTGCAATCAAACTTAAAATACTTTTATTGTACTACTATATTTTATAAAGATTTCACAAAAGCAGGAAGGCTTGGATGAATTCTGTGATGGAGGCTCCTGGGTGTGCATGTGCACACATGGCCAGAAAGGCAGAAAATACTTACTAGGAATGTGATGTGGCATTAGGTTCAGCCACTTTTCAGAAACACTGTGATAGTTCTTTTACAAATATCTACAACTGTAGCAAACTTAGTTTTCGGATGTATTTAATGATCGTCTTGTTCAATGCAGAAATAATGATAAATTTTCTGAAATGATTTGAAATGCCTACTAATTAAGTGTGAATTACTGTAGCAAGTTTGCTCTTTGCAAAGTGAGAACCCCATGCTACACAGCTGACCCAGTGGTGGGGTGTTAGCCCTCACTAATAATCTAATTAATTGTCTATTCCTGAGTTGTAAACATACCCATATTTATCAGTCCTGTCAGGAAGACTTTTCATAAGCATATATACAGAAGGTATTAATTATAAAGTATTACTGAGTATTAAGTAGCAATCTGTCAGTTATTAACATTTGTAAAACCTATCTATGGAAGATAATTTGATTTTGTAATCAAGGTGACTGAGAAAACAATTTTCAGTTATGTAAATAAAATCATGTATCTTGAAATGTGTAATCTTATTTTCTTAATTTCCTAGTTGTAAACATTAGACTTCAGATTTTGATACTTCAGTATAAATATTAAACTATCACAAGGAAAGAAGGTCAAAGAACCCCAAAGAGTTCTTTGAAAGGAACTCACCAAGCCATGAAAGGAAGTCACCAAGACATACTATAATCAAATTTTCCAAAACCAAAGACAAGGAAAGAATCCTGAAAGCAGCTTGGGAAAAATGAAAAGTTACCTACAAAGGAGAAACAATAAGATTAAGCTCTTATTTTTTCAGCAGAAACCATACAGATAAGAAAATAATCTATAAGTTATGATATTTTTATAAAACTCTGAAAGAAAGACATTGCAAACCAAGATTTAAATACCCAGAAAAATTGTCACTGTAATACAATGGTGAAATTGGGACATTTCCAGATCAACAGAAATTATGGAAATTTGTAACAATCAGACCAACCTTACAAGAAATACTAAAGGAAGTTCTTTGGACAGAGAACCAACAATGGTAGACAACAACCTGAAAATAACATACATGAAAACATCACCCAGAAGCCAACCCAAATATAGAAGTATCCAAAGTAAAATAAACCTACAATCCTGGAAATAGGGGAACAGAAATATAAATTTATAAGTAAAAATAATTACAAAGTAAGAAGATGAAATAAATAATGTAATAATAGAACTTTCTAAAGTAGAGGAAGTCAAAATAATTTCAAAGCAAAACAGATGGATTTAAGTTTTGGAAGGAAATAATAAATTATAAGATAATGTCAAGGTAAATTAATAAATCTCATCAGCAAAATATAAAAGAAGAAAATCATAAATATATGGTGCTCTTGTTGAGTGCCATGGAGTTGGTTCAGACTCATAGAGCCCCTATATAGGGTTTCTGAGGCTATAATCTTTGAGAGAGCAGAAAGTTTCATCTTTTTTCTATGCATAAATATATAGGCAATAGTAAAAGAAAAAATATATTTAATGAGGAAAATTATAATAAAACCCACAAACAATGAACTCAGCACAGAAAATTAAGTAGAAAGAAAAAAGCAGTACTGGAAAACACTACATAATGACAGCAATGAGTTCATACTTATCAAAAATTATGCAGATTGCAAATGGAATATATGAACTAATCTCTACAGTTTATAGAAAACTATAACACCTCTACAAAAAAAAAAAAAAAAAAAAAAATCAAACAGGCACAGGACATGAACACACACTTCAGCAAAGAAGACATTCAGCCAACAAGCATATGGAAAAATGCCCATGATAATTATCCATTGTTGTTGTTTTTGCTGTTGTTAGGTGCCATTGAGTCAGGACAAACTCACAATGACCCTATGCACAACACAACAAAACACTGCCCAGTCCTAAGTCAACCTCACAACTGTTGCTACGCCTGAGCCCATTGCTGCTGCCACTGTGTCAATCCATTTTGTTGAGGGTCTTCCTCTTTTTCTCCAACTTTCCACTTTACCAAACATGATATCCTTCTCCAGGGATTGGTCCCTCCTGATAATATGTCCAAAGTATGAGAGACAAAGTCTGGCCATCTGGTTTTCTAAGGAGTACTCTGGCTGTACTTCTTCCAACACAGATATGTTTGTTCTTTAGGCAGTCCATGATACTTCCAATATTCTCCTCCAACACCATAATTCAAATGCACCAATTCTTCTATGGTCTTCCTTATTCACTGTCCAACTTTTGCATACATATGAGGTTACTAAAAATACTGTGGCTTGAGTCAGGTATACCTTTGTCCTCAAATTGATACCTCTGCTCTTCAACACTTTTAAAAGGTCTTGTGCAGCAGATTTGCCTAATGCAATATGCCATTAAACAGATGCAAATCAAAACAACAATGAACTATCATCTCATACCAGTGTTGATGACAAAGTTTTTAAACACAAAAAAACAGAAGACAACAAATTCTGGCAAGGGTGTGGAGAGACTTGGACCCTCCTAAATTGCCCACTTGGGGACTTTAAAATGGTTCAAACACTCTGGAGAATGATATGGCACTTTCTCAGAAAGTTAGAAATAGAAATACCATATGACCCAGCAATCCCTCTAATTGATATATATCTACAAGAAATAAGAGCCAGAACACTAATAGATATGCACACACTGATGTTTGTTGTAGCACTATTCACAATAGCAAAAAGATGGAGACAGCCTAAAAGCCCATCAATGGAAGAGTGGATAAACAAACTTTTGTACATATACACACAATGTAATACTATAGTGATGAATCTGCAAAGCACCTTATAGCATGAATAAACCTGGAGAACATTATGCTGAGTGAACTAAGTCAATCACAAAAAGAGAAATATGGTATGAGACCACTATCATAAAAACTCTAGAAAAGGTTTTCATACTAAAAGAAACATTATTTGATACCTACGAGGGATGGAAGGGAAGGGAAAGTAATTCACTGACTAGAGGGTAGACACATGTTAACTTAGGTAACAGGGAGGGTGATAAACAAGAAAGGGGAGGACAATGTACAAGAAGAGGGAGGTTAGCAGAAGAATGATGATATAGGTGAAGACACAGAGAGGTATGCAAGGGTTAAACAGGATAATGGTAAATAGTGATAAGTACACAACCTTAGAACAATGGTGTTCTGTGTGTAGATACATGGACAGAGACACAGACTGAATGGGTATGGGAAGAAAAGTGGGATATATATATTTCAAACTCATACATTTGTGTGGGTGGGTGGGTGGGTT